CGTGGATGCTCCTTCCACAGAGAAAACTAACTGGACCCTTGCCAGGCCGGCAACAAACAGATATAAGTGTCATTCATGGAGCTAGTACCCAGATGATCCTTCAGTTGAGTATGCCTTCAGTGCCATTCTGTGACGACCCTGCAGTCGTTGTTTGAGAGACTATGTCAAGTGCCCACTTAACGGACTTTCAATTAACTGCAATACTTTTTGGTGATTTAGTATCTAGTCATATCTCAGTTTGAGCATATATGTCTTTATATTCAAGATTATGCTTTGTTTGAGATTTAGTAAACTGTTGATTGTGAGTAAAATTCTTGTGTTATTTTTTGTCAGAAATGAGGACAAGATCTCGTTTTTTCTCGCGAGACTACGTTGAAAGGCTGTTAACTTCCGGAAGTTAGAGAAACATCGTATTTAGACTTTATTTCAGTTTACTCACAAAATTATAATATCATTTCGCATGCTTATAAAATTCTGAATTAAAAGCCTTAACCATTAGGCTACCCCACTGCCCCAGTTTGATATAGAGATTTATCATGTGTCCGAGTTATACGTATATCAAACGAGAACAAAGTTTGACATTTAACTCGGACACATGATAAATCTCCATATCAAACTCACTGACACATGCTAACGAATTTATCCTGACAAGCACCCTCACTAAATGCTTTACATCTGGACTGAAAGAATGAGACAGTCAAAATGGTTGCTGAGTGTGTTCGTATAACTTTTTTACTTGTGAACTTCCAATTTCTTAGTTCATACCATTGCATTCAGCAGAAAAATAAATGATTAGCACCGTGAAACAGACTGAAATAAAGGATTTATACAAATTAAGCAGAACAGTAGCTGAAATGGTGAGTTCTTATATGCATTGGAGTGAGTGAGTGAGTTTAGTTTTACGCCGCCCTCAGCAACATTCCAGCTATATGTCGGTTGTCTGTAAATAATCGAGTCTGGACCAGAAAATCCAGTGATCAACAGCATGAGCATCGTTCTGCGCAATTGGGAACTGATGACATGTGTAAACCAAGCTAGCAAGCCTGACCACCGGATCCCGTTAGTCACCTCTTACAACAAGCATGGGTTACTGAAGGTGCATTCTAACCCGGTCCTTCACGGGTTATATGCATTGGAATGGTCATGTGACATCATGCAGACATTCCAGCTCAGAAACTCTACAATCAAACATATGAAATCCACGCTGTCATTCATTGTCAAACTTTTTATCTTTCAAGAACTTTTTAATAACACAGAACAACGTAAGCAATTGCAACTCTATTACCATGAAACTTTTATCAACTTGGAGGTAAGGTCAGCATAACCTGTATTGGAATGCACTAGCCTCGTAGAGGACACTGGCATTAGACTAAGCTACTGTAGATGTGTTGATGCTCTACACAAGGTCAACACCTGGACAATATGTACTTGTTGTAGTGAATGTGGAGATTGTTTATGGTACACTGGTATAGAATAGGCATTTGTGGCCTAGAAGTTACAGCATTTTTGTTGCTGAATTCTCTAAAGAGATCTTCCATGCTGAGAACGTGAGACGTTTTGGGACACTGGCATCAAAGCAGGGAGGATTTGTGCTAAGTTTATTCAGGATGGCTTTTCCCATACATTCTTTCTCAGAATTGCCAACTCGCTGATAAACAGAAAGAGACGATACACTTCTGGCCAGTGATGGTCAAAATTTGAGGTGCCCCGAAGTGACACCTCGGCCCCTGTGGCACGGATAGAGTGATTTTTGTACACTGTGGATAGATTGCAGCTCTTGCTTAGTGATGGCATGAATTGCTGGAGGGTATTGACTCAAACGCATCACTGTCAATATCCCTTTGATCTAGATCTAGCGTAGCCGACATTGCTGTGCAAGTCAAGATAAAAAGCTATAGCCAGATAGTAGATGGTCTGTAAGGGAAAACATATTGTCAACATACTGTTACCGAAACAGATACACATGTCATTTAATTCTTCAATTTTATAACATTGAGGTCAGTGGTAGTATGAGATCTATTTGTTTGATTTGAATACGTCAATAGTTGAGGAATTGTGGAAATAACACAAAGGCTGATATAAAGAGTGTGTTTTCATTATTTCATCAATGCTATGTTACCCAAGACTTACACTGCCTCCTGTTCTGTTGTAGGAAATGCTGTGACAATACACTGATTTTTCATGGGTTTTTCCCCGTTATCTCCCATCATATCAATTCCTATTGCACTTGGAGATTAAGCAAACGATACTGTTTTAAACATGTGTCAGTTGAAGGTATTTAATTGTCAACGATCGTTTTTCAATAAGGTGCAGGAAAGCAATGTGTAAGCTTGGCTCTGTCTTTAATTGTGCACATTGATTCAGGAACGAGAAATGAGAAGCTGGAACATCGCTTACATCATTTCAAAAGGAGAGTTATCGCCCTTTGGAACAAAAACATTATCCATTATATAATTTTCACATTTCAACGAATACATGACATAACTACGTGAATCGTGATTTTGAAAAGATGTTAAAAATGGTGACATTTATGATGAACCCAATTTTCAGATGTTTTTTTCAGCACTTTTGCTTTGCCTAAGATGATAGATGATGGAAATTGGAAATTTCTCACAGAATTACAAACTGTGAAGTGTATTTGTGAGTGTAATAAATCATTCATCTTCAAAGTGAAGGTTGAAGAGGAGGGACAACATGTCAGTAGTGCCCAAATCAAAATATTTCCTGTATTCCAAAGGCACCTCCCAAACCTAATAAGAGTCATCAGAAGACGATGAATCCCCCCCCAGCCCCCACATATTTGAAAGAACAAATCATCTAACAGTTACTTAAAGTTCAAAACATTTCCGTGGAAATCATGAAAAATACAAATGCCAAAAATCTGCAAATAGCAAAAGGCACCACTTTGGTATCTGCCTCATATATCTGCCAAGTTTTGTTGAAAGATATTGAACGTTTTTCGAGTTGTGCTCCGGAAATGAAGGTCCCCCCTTCCCTTATTGAGACAGTTACTTAAACTTCAAATCATTTCCATGGAAACCAAGAAAAACAGAAATGACAAAAATCTGTAAATAGCAAAAGGCACCACTTTAGGTTCTGTTTGATATATCTACAAATATTTGTTGAAAATATTGAACAATTTTTTAGTTATGCTCCGGAAACAAAATGATTACTGACGGACAGACAGACGAGGCATCAACTATATCCCCCTGCATTACCAGCCGGGGGGGGATAAAAATGAGTCCACAAAATATCTCTAAGACTAACTTCATGACTTTGTATCTAAATACCCATCTTCTGAGTTGATCATGTATCTAGAAACACATCTCCCAAGTGGACTTTGTGTCCAGATACATATCTCATATGTGTATTTTGTGTCCAGATATATATCTCGAGAGTGCATTTTGTGTCCAGATAAATATCTCATGAGTGCATTTTGTGTCGGGGCAGTGGGGTAGCCTCATGGCTAAAGCGTTTGCCTGTCATGCTGAAAACCCGGGTTATATATCTCAAGAGTGCACTAGATGCACCAGTGTCCAGATACACATCTGACCCAAACATGTGTCTGAATAAACGTCTCCAGACTTGACTGTGTGCCCAGATACACATCTCTTGACTGGACTGTGTGTCCAGATACACATCTCCTGATTGGACCATGTGTCCAGATACATATCTCCCGACTGGACTGTGTGTCCAGAAACACATCTCCAGACTGGACTGTGTGTCCAGATACACGTCTCCTGATTGGACCGTGTGTCCAGATACACATCTCCTGACTGGTCCATGTATCCATATACACATTTCCTGACTGGACCATGTGTCCAGATTCATGTCTCCTGACTAGACCATCTGTCCAGATACATGTCTCCTGACTGGACCATGTGTCCACATACACATCTCCTGACTGAACAGTGTGTCCAGATACACTTCTCCTTACTAGACCATGTGTCCAGATACATGTCTCCTGACTGGACTGTGTGTCCAGAAACACGTCTCCAGATCGGACTGTGTCCAGATACACATCTCCTGACTGGACTGTGTGTCCAGATACACATCTCCTGATTGGACCATGGTTTTCATATACGTATCTCCTGACTGGACCATGTGTCCAGATACACATCTCCAGATCGGACTGTGTGTCCAGATACACATCTCCTGACTAGACCATGTTTTTCAGATACATATCTCCTGACAGGACCGTGTGCCCAGGTACACGTCTCCTGACTGGACCGTGTGTCCAGATACACATCTCCTGACTAGACCATGTGTCCAGATACACTTCTCCTGACTGGACCATGTGTCCAGATACATATCTCCTGACTGGACCATGTGTCCAGATACATATCTCCTGACTGGACCATGTGTCCAGATACATGTCTCCTGACTGGACCATGTGTCCAGATACATGTCTCCTGACTGGACCATGTGTCCACATACACATCTCCTGCCGGGACAGTGTGTCCAGATACACATCTCCTGACTGGACTGTATGTCCAGAAACATGTCTCCAGATCGGACCATGTGTCCAGATACACGTCTCCTGACTGGAATGTGTGTCCACATACACATCTCCTGACTAGACCATGGTTTTCATATACATATCTCCTGACTGAACCATGTGTCCAGATACATGTCTCCTGACTGGACTGTGTGTCCAGAAACACATCTCCTGATTGGACCATGTGTCCAGATACACAACTCCAGATCGGACAATGTGTCCAGATGCACATCTCCTGACTGGACTGTGTGTCCAGATACACATCTCCTGACTGGACTGTGTGTCCAGATACACATCTCCTGACTGGACCGTGTGTCCAGATACACATCTCCTGATTGGACCGTGTGTCCAGATACACTTCTCCTTCCTGGACCGAGTGTCAAGGTACATGTCTCCTGACTGGACCGTGTTTTTCAGATACATGTCTCCTGACTGGACCGTGTGTTCAGATACATGTCTCCTGACTGAACTGTGTGCCCAAATTGTGGTTCTAGGTACTCACCTTGTTCCTGCCAACTGGCCTCCACCTCCTGACTGCTTTCTTCTGCTGTTCTTTCCAGAGCATTCCTCATCTCCTTCCATCGAATATAGATCTCACTGCTTCGTCTGTGACGCATATTGTCATAGTTCTGTACAGACTTTCGCCTCACTCGTTCAGTCACAGCCTGTAGTCAAACAATTTATGATTTTTAAGGCGGGTATGCCTAGAGAAAATATAAATATGAGTGCAAATGACAGGTTAATACCATGAGCAAATAGCTCTACTTTTAAACCCTTTTCATCATTCTTTTTGGTGAAACTAAACCTACTACTGATACACTCAGAATATTAACTTGTGCTCAATCAGTATCTTTTCATTCAATGGCTTGGATTTTTAATTATCTTAAAGATTTTCAAACAAACGTGCGAGGAAATTAAGCTCAGTGTGATTTATGTCTCATTCTGGTTGAATATGTGTTTTACAAAGTAAAAATATATTACACTTATTGTGACTCATTTTAAAAGCTCAACTCTTCATTTTCAAAGAATAAAGTTAAAACCTTCAGTGCTGTTGAGCTAAGAAGAGACAAAACATCTCAGTCTGCCAACAGTATGGAAGATCCATTTTGCTTCAGGTGCACCGAAGCAAAATGGATTTTCCATTCTGTTGGCAAATGGTTTGGCTGGCCTGAATAGGGCATCTGTTAACACACTTGATACTCCTTGAATGTGTCTTGCTTTTATCTCTCAATTGAGGCAGTGTGTGAGATTATACAGTTGAGAAGCTAACCTCAGAAGGGTTACCAACCTTAGAGTGCACTGGAGATTAAAAAAAGTTGATTGGAGATGACTCGCTTCCAAGTTTAGTAGTCTACGATTTGAGGTGTTTAGACTCCACTATGTGCAGAAAAGAGGTTTTCTAGGATCACAACAATCAACCTTAGGTCCTAGATTAATGTGGACTCATCCTAGGTGATGACTGCTATCTGCCATTTCCTGACGTCTCTTCTCAAAAGACAAACATGATAGGTTTCAGGCGTAAACACGCCCTCAATCAGGAAATCAAAATAGCCTAGATACAACGTAAATGGTGTTACTGGGCATTAATGCCTGTCAGGTAAACCTCTGTCTATCGTTGGAGCCAGGGAAGGGATAATAAACTCCACTTGTTGTCCTAGAGGTTCCAATGCAGGCTTCTAATTCTTGGCCTGGAACTCAGGTAATGCTCTGATTGAGCGGGATTGGGTGGTCAGGCTCGCTGGCTTGGTTGACACATGTCATCGGTTCCCAATTGCGCAGATCGATGCTCATGCTGTTGATCACTGGACTGTCTGGTCCAGACTTGATTATTTACAGAAGGCCGAAATAAAGCTGGAATATTGCTGAGTGCGGCATAAAACTAAACTTGCTCACTCTGATTGAGACTCTGGAGGAACTCTTGAGGAACGTAATGGACCTGACATCTAGTGCATGTGGCCCTGACACCCTTGAGGCTGTGGCAATGGCCATAAATAATGTAGTCTTCCAAGCAAAATGGGGATGTGTTGCCTTGTCCATGGCTTTGAACGGACTGGGTAGCAGTGCTGATAAATCCCATAACCACTGACAAATCCCATTCCGTAGTTATTCACTGTTTTCATATAAGCTCCAGTTCAAAGGAATGTAGCATGCTGGTATCATGGAATAATAATTCATACAAAATTCATTATTCATTATTACCACTACAAGCAATATATTAGGATTCAGATATTAGGAAAATATAAATATAGAATATTAGTAATAGCTTAGAGAAAGACTCCAGTCAAAAGTTGTAAAACTCATCTCACAGACATATTATTGAAAAAGGTATAAATTACGGCTACACAATTTCACAGATATTCAAGATAAAATCCTAGCCTAAGGTATTGAGGACTCAAGCTGTTAGCAATCCTTTCAGGAATTCAGAGTTATCACCAGACGATTAAATGCATCTATGGTAATCCAAGCACCTGTAATTGACACATCAGATTAGGCTCGTTAAGATCTAGCCCAGGGTAGGCATCCAAGCATCCAGTAAAAGTGCCATCGAGATTAGTGCCAGTTAAAATAGGATTAAGAGTAATTGCCCTGTCTGGTCATTGAAGGACACACCCCATTTTGTATATTCTGTATTTGATAGGCTAATTTAGGTTACACCCATTTTTGTATCAGTCAACTAATCATAATCTCTTTATTGTTTTAATTGTAGATAAAAAGTCTCTAACTACATTTGTCCATCAGTAGGGTTTAGACTCCCAACACAGGTCAGCTCTAGCCCTCAGTCCAGAGTCTGTGGCCACCCCATGTTACTTTGTTCTTGTAAATAAAAGTGTGATTAGTTTCTTGTGACTTCGGACTCTTTTGCTGAGTTAATTCCCCCAAACAGACCAGCACGCCAGTTAGATAAGGTGTTTCACCGGAACCATCACTTGGACCCAAGACCCCTATCATAATAGTTGGCGGAGAATCAACGATTTTCGGAACCTCGGAGCCCAGGAACTAACTACAACCAGCTACAAGAACACATGGAATAACAAGCGACTGCATCCACGTCTGATCTCAACACTGGATTAAGGACCACCAACTCCTGTAAAGACACCAGCCAAGGAAGAAAAAGTCTTCAAGGAATAATAATTCATACAAAATTCATTATTCATTATTACCACTACAAGCAATATATTAGGATTCATATATTAGGAAAATATAAATATAGAATATTAGTAATAGCATAGAGAAAGACTCCAGTCAAAAGTTGTAAAACTCATCTCACAGACATATTATTGAAAAAGGTATAAATTACGGCTGCACAATTTCACAGATATTCAAGATAAAATCCTAGCCTAAGGTATTGAGGACTCAAGCTGTTAGCAATCCTTTCAGTAATTCAGAGTTATGACCAGACGATTAAATGCATCTATTGTAATCCAAGCACCTGTAATTGACACATCAGATTAGGCTCGTTAAGATCTAGCCCAGGGTAAGCATCCAAGCATCCAGTAAAAGTGCCATCGAGATTAGTGCCAGTTAAAATAGGATTAACAGGATTAAGAGTAATTGCCCTGTCTGGTCATTAGAAGGACACACCCCATTTTGTATATTCTGTATTTGATAGGCTAATTTAGGTTACACCCATTTTTGTATCAGTCAACCAATCATAATCTCTTTATTGTTTTAATTGTAGATAAAAAGTCTCTAACTACATTTGTCCATCAGTAGGGTTTAGACTCCCAACACAGGTCAGCTCTAGCCCTCAGTCCAGAGGGTTGTACCGACTCTCTGTGGCCACCCCATGTTACTTTGTTCTTGTAAATAAAAGTGTGATTAGTTTCTTGTGACTTCGGACTCTTTTGCTGAGTTAATTCCCCCAAGCAGACCAGCACGCCAGTTAGATAAGGTGTTTCACCGGAACCATCACTTGGACCCAAGACCCCTATCATAATAGTTGGCGGAGAATCAACGATTTTCGGAACCTCGGAGCCCAGGAACTAACTACAACCAGCTACAAGAACACATGGAATAACAAGCGACTGCATCCACGTCTGATCTCAACACTGGATTAAGGACCACCAACTCCTGTAAAGACACCAACCAAGGAAGAAAAAGTCTTCAAGGAATAATAATTCATACAAAATTCATTATTCATTATTACCACTACAAGCAATATATTAGCATTCATATATTAGGAAAATATAAATATAGAATATTAGTAATAGCTTAGAGAAAGACTCCAGTCAAAAGTTGTAAGTACTACTTTACATTGTTGATTTCTTGTCTTTTCTTAATTATAGTACGGTACATACTATAAGGTGTCATGGCCAATATGGAGTCTGGTATGGAAAGTAACTGTGGAAGTGAAATTCCAACTGTGTCCTTAGTTACCCCCCTTGCCATAAGTGTAGTTCAGGTAACATTTGGCACTGAAACAACAACTTGTTTAATAGATACAGGGGCATCCATTTGCTGCATTTCGTCTGCTTTTCTAAACAAAGCTTTCAACAACCCTGTACTTGGAAACTCACCCTTTCCACAAATTCAAGGTGTTGTTGGCATATTGCACAAGGTGTTGGGTTCAGTTGTGTTAGATTTTGTCATTGAAGATCAAGAATTTTCACAAACATTCTATGTCCTGCCCTCATTACCTAAGTCAGTCCTACTAGGTGAGAACTTCCTCAATGACAATGATGCAGTCATAGATTATAGCTGCCATTCCCTCATAATCGGCAACAGCACCTCAGATAGGCAATATATCAATTTCATTGCCAATCCAGATCAAGAAATTTGTGGATTAGCAAAAACAATAGATCAGATATATATTCCCCCTCAGAGTGAAATTCATTTCAACGTAAGACTGCCTGAGGCAAACAATGATTCCCTCATCCTCATTGAACCAATTGCCGCCCTCGATGCTCATTCTGAAGTAGCAGGTGGTAGGACCCTCTCGAAAGCGCATAAGAAAACTGCTACATTTAGGCTTATGAATCCTTCCCAAGAAGAAAAAGTTTTAGACAAGGGTACAGTTGTAGGAAAATTTAGTTACATTGACAGTCACTCTATCTTTGAAATTGACTGTGACCAACCTTTAATAAATTCAGTTAACACTGACATGAAGACAACAGACAATGACACTAGGGATTATGTCAAAATTGCTCAAGATTTAGGATTTGACTTGACCAAGACACAACTGACACCAGACCAACAACAAAGACTACTCAGGTTTTTAGGACAAAACAGAGACATGTTTTCTACAAGCCTTGCAGATTTAGGAAAAACTGACATGCATAGGCATGTCACTGACACGGGCAACCATCCCCCTGTTAAGTGTAGGCCTTATCGTCAGTCTCCTCATCTCCAAAAAGTCACTGAAGAACTTGTAGAAGATTTTCTCAAATATGATTTAATGGAGGAGTCCACTTCAATGTATTCAGCCCCCATCATCTTAGTTAAAAAACGTGACGGCTCATATAGATTTGTTTGTGACTACAGAAAATTAAATTCTGTCACATTACCCATGTCATGGCCACTCCCTGTTTTTGACGATGTTGTTGATCACATCGGCAATAGCCAAGCTACATTTTTTCCACGTTAGATCTTGCCAATGGCTTCTTCCAAGTGCCATTACACGAAGACTCAAAGCATAAAACTGCTTTTGTCACCCATCAAGGCCTTTATCAATTCAAACGTTTGCCCCAGGGTTTGTCTAATTCTCCACTTTGTTTTCAGCAACTCATGAGCAAAGTTCTAAGAAAATTGCTTTTCAAAGTTGCATTGATTTACATTGATGATTTGATAATCTACAGCAAAAACTTAGAAGAGCATCTCCAACATTTGGAGCAAGTCTTCTACTATCTCAAACAGGCAAAATTAACACTAAAGCCATCAAAATGCAATTTTGCAACAGACAAGGTTTCATTTCTGGGTCATGTTTTATCATGTGGAGGTGTTCAAGTTGATGACAAAAAGGTTGAAGCAATTAAAACCTTCCCAATACCTAAATCACAAAAACAGGTTCGCTCATTTTTAGGCATCACAAACTTTTACAGAAAGTATGTGAAAGATTATGCGAAAATAGCACTGCCATTGAATGCATTGTTAAAAAAGCATTCAGAGGCAGAAACTGGTAAGAAACCAAAGTTCCAGTGGTCACTTGAGTGTGATCAGGCTTTCAACACACTCAAAGATGCTATGTGTAACACACCTGTTCTGGCTTATCCAGACTTTGACAAAGAATTTTTTCTCGCAACTGATGCCAGCAATATGAGCATAGGGTTTGTCTTGAGTCAAAAAGATGAGAAGGATAATGAACATCCTATAGCTTTTGGAGGCAGAGCTCTTCACGGCAGCGAGAAGAATTGGAGCATTACAGAAAAAGACTGACTGACTGAGTTAGGTTTTACGCCGCTTTTAGCAATATTCCAGCAACATCACGGAGGGGGACACCAGAAAAGGGCTTCACACATTGTACCCATGTGGGGATTCGAACCCGGGTCTTCGGCGTGACGAGCCAATGCTTTAACCACTAGGCTACCCCACCGCCCCTACAGAAAAAGAAGGTTTAGCTTTAGTTGAAGCCATTAGATCATTTCATCCATACCTTGCAAATTCCAAATTCACTGTCTACACAGACCACATCGCCTTAAAATGGCTCAAATCCATCAAGGATGCCACAGGTAGGTTAGGGCGATGGTCTTTAGAACTGTCTACCTATACATTTGATATTGTTCATCGAAGCGGCAAAGCCAACGGGAATGCTGATGCGCTCTCACGCAGGGAATATGAGAAAAATATTAACTGTCAGAGTCAAACAGAAGAAGATGCTGAGAAAACAGTCTTTACAGTAACTTCACTTGGGCAAAGAAGCCATACCAACATTTCAGCAAGCCCACAATTATCCTCACAGGTCACGCAATCAACTCAGACTGAGGATGATTGCATACCAAGTATTAATCACTTAGATAGTGAATCACAGACAACTCATTTGTCTGTCACCTTTGAATATGAAGAGGTCTACCAAACAGTACCAGTAAACGTTGTTGCAGCATTACACGCTACAAGTGATGATGTCACACAAGCCACAATCGTTGAGGTAAATATTAATGCACATCCCAACTTACGTCATCTACAAAGAATTTGTCCAGATCTTACCAAAATTTTTGACTACAAAGAAGATGATGTCCTTCCAGAAATGAAAAGGACCGCCAAAAGATCCTTATTGAAGCAGGCGACTTTGAAATAGATGAAGGAATCCTATACAGATTTGTTCCACAGAGACAGAAGGCTCATGCGGACAAATTCATTAAACAGCTGGCAGTTCCAAAAACTCTCAGGAACCAGGTCCTGAGATCCTACCACGATTCCGAGTTTGGCGGTTGTCACCATGGAAAGGAAAGGATGCACAACACCATGAGACCAAAATACTACTGGCCAAAGATGTACACCGAAATTGCAACGTATGTCCAGACATGTGAAGTATGTCAACAGACGAAGAGGCATTACCACAGCAAGAAAGCACCCCTACGTCCACTACCTGTGGAAGAGGTCTTCACCAGGTGGCATGTTGACATCCTTGGTCCCTTGCCAACAACACCAGACTAGTACAAGCACATTTTGGTCATCACCGATGCAGCATCTAGATGGTGTGAAGCCTTTCCCCTAAGAACTCAAGAAGCCACAGAGGTCAGAACTTCATGTCCAAATTAATCAAAGCTATTGTGAACTTTTGGCTATCAAATTCACTCATACTAGCCCATACCATCCCCAAACAAACAGCTGTGTAGAAAGGCTCAATTCCTACATCAATCAATCACTAAGAGCCTACTGTAACAAAACTCAAAATGATTGGCCCCTGTTTCTTCCAGGCATCATGATGGCCTATCGGATGGCCCCAAATTCATCAACTCAAAAGTCCCCCTTTGTTATGCTTTTCGGCCGAGAAATGAGAGCTCCACAAGATGTTTCGTTAATTCCAAAGGAAAATTTAGGCCACAACAACAAAAGCTGTCTTTCAAATTTGCTTGAGGAGCTAGAAATTACAAGGACTATTGCAGCTGAAAACACTGCTCGAGCGAAGGAGGTGTATTCCAAGCAATACAATCGTAAGGCTAAAGAGACAGATTTCTCCCCAGGTCAAAGAGTTTGGCTATATTGTCAAAAAGTAGAAAAAGGCCTCTGCAACAAGTTAACCAAAAAGTGGTATGGCAGTTATTTCATTGTTCATTTAGGTCCAAATTTCACCTACAAACTACGCCGAAGTTCTGACGACAAAGTGCACAAACCATTGGTCCATGCCAACCGTCTGAAGCCATATTTTGATCCAGCTCATCGTCCACAGTATCCACCAGAACCATACCTCAACAACAGCAACAATATGGATTCAGACGTCATAGATGACAATGAGGAACCAGTGAGCGATCCACAACTTGACAGCAACAATGCAGAGTCAACAAGTTCAACCCAGGATCAATCACCTAAAGGTAAGGAAGTCAATTCAAACACTAAGGCAGGAAATCCAAGGAATCCAACTCAAGAGAAGAAAGGCGTTCAGGAAAGCTCAGCAGGACCCTGTACAACAATTACAAACCACAAACAGAGCACCCCAGGTCCAAGTAACCCCACCAAGAAGAAAGGAAATACAAACAAGGGAAAAAGAGTAGTAAACAGCAAACATCATCAGCCAAACTCAAGGCCACAATCAGAATCAAGTCAGGCACAACAACCAGCGTCAAGCAATGACGCCAAGGTTTTCAATCCTGATGACATTCACTCAATTCCTGCTTCCAAGAGAGCAAACAACAAAATCTACTACAGAGTGAAATGGACAGATCCAGAAAGAGGAAACACGTGGGAATATGGCAGCACCATTCCAGACTCAATTCGGAGAGAATTTCATGTCAAGAGAAATATGTCAGGAAAACGACGAAAATGGCCACTGAAGAATCACAAATTTTTCAACCAAAGAGAATCAACACAAAACGATAAATCGGTCAATGTACTGTCCAAAAGTTTCAGACAGCAACCAATCATTACAGACCCAGTATTGGACGTTGAACCATACCCGATTGAACCTATACACCTACGAGAAATCATTCCAGATATAAAGAGAGTTTTGGGCATTGAAATAGTTCAAGGAGACTGCTATGTCAAAGTCTCATATAACTATGACAAAAGTGATCATAGCTATCATACAGCGTATTTTGAAGCTGTTCCTCTCCACCTCATACAGGATTACCTCAATGAGAGCTGGTTGGATCTCTATGAATGGTTTGATACTGACACCCCAGAGGATTATGATTCTCCTGGTGTATTACCCATCTATAAATCCAAACGCTCTCCTGTACACAAAGAAGGCATCGGAACTGTTGGCTCCTTTGAATATTGTGCAGTGAACAAGGGTTACAGACCCACCATACCATACCAATATTGCCACCGTGATATATACCTGTGGTCACCAGATAGTCATATTCCTGCAAAAGGTACAGCACCTCGTTAATAAATGGATCTGTTAGCTCTGGGGAACGTATATTTGTCCTGTCATTTCACTTTGTGTTACCTGATAACACTAGTTGTGAACAAATGGCATCAGCCTGATCATCTGAGCTATTTGCATCACAACAACTTTTGAGCATTGATCTGATCAACCAATCTCAAAAGCAAAGTGAACTTACCCAACGCGAAACGAAACCGAAATACACCGTACGGAACAAACTTAACCAACGCGAAACAAAAGCGACATAAATCTTACCGAAGCAACGAAAGCGAAATAAATCGTGCCGAAGCAAAACAAACTTAATCAGCACGAAATGAGAGCGAAATAAACCGTAACAAGGCGGAACGAACAAACCAACGCAAAACAGAAGCGAATTAAACCGAACCTCAGCCAAACGTACAGGCTGAGCTGAATTAAAATGAACCAAAACTGAGTTTGGTAAACTCAGACTAATAAATCAAGGTAAACCTAAAGCTAAAATAAAATAAAATAAAACAAAATAAAAATCCCTAAACAAATTAAGATGTTTAAAACACTAACACAATCAATCAAATTAACAAGGTGCCTAACAAATGGTTCTTAACACAATATGTATATGTATGGATTCAATGAACTAACGCACCTGTTAAAAGCATAGGCACATGTGTATATATTTGCTCATACATGACATTTATGTGTTTATTACCCCATGTACGTTGTATTATTAACTGCCCATGCATTATTCCAGGTCATGACTTCAATACATAAAAGTCACCTCTTACAATGCACTAATAGACAATTTATTTGCAGGGAAAAGTATCTTTATGTACGTATTCCGCACAAACCAAAATAGTTACATGTATATTGTTGGCAGCAAGCTAACTCTCTTTTGTTTTGAATTTTTCATGTAAATCATCTGTCTGCATGGGATAATGGAGAAGTCAACTCCAAAATCAGGATGTGGAACCATCACAAGGCCTCCTGGAAACATAAAGAACCAGTACACAGAGCCATGACAAGCCCGATTCCACATCCAGACGACCAGATGACAGCAGAAGGAACTTGTGCCTCAATACCAAAGAGACAATCTAATTACCATTTAAATATTCTACCATTGTCCATCTAAGAAATTTTTTTTGTCCGAGTTTGGGGACCAAACTTTTTCAGACAGCGGGGAAGTTATCATGGAATAATAATTCATACAAAATTCATTATTCATTATTACCACTACAAGCAATATATTAGGATTCAGATATTAGGAAAATATAAATATAGAATATTAGTAATAGCTTAGAGAAAGACTCCAGTCAAAAGTTGTAAAACTCATCTCACAGACATATTATTGAAAAAGGTATAAATTACGGCTGCACAATTTCACAGATATTCAAGATAAAATCCTAGCCTAAGGTATTGAGGACTCAAGCGATTAGCACTCCTTTCAGTAATTCAGAGTTATGACCAGACGATTAAATGCATCTATTGTAATCCAAGCACCTGTAATTGACACATCAGATTAGGCTCGTTAAGATCTAGCCCAGGGTAAGCATCCAAGCATCCAGTAAAAGTGCCATCGAGATTAGTAGTATATACAATGGGGGGTTCTGGACCACTTTCAACCAAAGCCTCTGCAAAGCCTTATTTCACAAGTAAGGCTTTGGTCGGGCCCTTAGCTCTTGCTACCATTACCCCTACTATGAAAAAGTTTGGGCCGATAGCGGGACCTCCTAGCCGCGCCGGGGGTATGGCTGGAGTGTGTTGGTATCCTGAGGTTGCACCATCCAATACTGGGCTGCGTCTAACGTGCCGCTATGGCACTATTGTGCCGCTATGCCATGTTTACCTCGATGAAACAGTTTAATGTGAATCGCCTATGATCTCTTTGGTGTTTGTAATAAGGGCTTGCCGGGCTTTTTTCACCCCTTGTTCTATGTACTTTTTTTTTCTCGTCCTCGCTGATAGTAGACTTACGAGACTTGGATCGAATCTCTTGTTTCATTTTGTTATATTTTGTGAGTTCAGAGAGGATTGAACTAAACTCATCCTCTGAGATCTTACTGTCAGTAAGTGCCGTGGAAATACGCTCACTTACTGTGTTCAGTTTTGCTTCGGCCAGAACCCTGATCTCGTCGTGTTTCAATGCCTTACGATGCAGTCTGCGTGATGCCAACTTAAGCGCCAACCCTAACACCCCTGCCACCCCAGCTGTTATTTCGATACCTAGTACTATAGGTGCAGCCACGATGGTAGCTAACAACCCAACACCTGCCGCTCCCAGCCCCATGCTGGTTGCCATAAGGGCAGTATCAGCCCGTCCACGATATTGAAAGCTCTATGGTACTTTTACATAGTGCTTTCCGCTGCGTGTCGCGGTCTTGCTCTAGTTGACGTTTTACATCACATAACTGTTCTCAAACGGAACCCGCCTCACGGTTCCA